TGCAGTCCTTCCCGGAGGCTCCAGTGGAGAATTTATTTCCTTGCCTTTTCTGGTTTCTAGAGGCTACCTACATCCTTGGCTCATGGTCCCTTCCTCCACCTTTAGGGCCTGCGCATTGCGTCTCTCTGACCCTTCTTCCACAGCCACACCTGACTCTGACGTCTGCTAGGAAAGACTCTCCTCTCGTGAGGCCCCAGGTGAGTCGACTGAGCCTGTCCAAATGGTTCCGGATAATCTCCCCATCTCAAGGTTCATAACTGTAATCACATCTGCAAAGTCCCTTTGAATTAGGGTGTGAACATCTTTGGGGAACCAGTATTCTTCCTACCACATGGAGAGACTCCAGGAAAATGCTCCTAAATGGGGCCGACCACTTGTTTCCACTCCCCCCTCCCAGCCCTGCACTGCCGGGTAACATGTTTTCTTACTCTCACTCAACTCATGTCGACTGTTCCGAGGTACGGTGGGTAAGGAAGGACTCCATGATTTTCCCAAGAAGATGGACGGTACATCTGAAATCAGAACTAGATGATACATACATATCACCTTATACTCAGAGATTTCTTCATTCAAAATCTTGTTTCCTTGTTTTGGATATATAAAGGAATAATAGTTAACACTTTTCCCCATGCTTCCCACTTGCTTCCCAAGTGCTATTCTAAGCACAACAACTCTGTAAGGGAGGTACTGCTAATACTGTTTTAGAAATGAATTAACAAAGACACAAGAAGATCATCAAGAAATTTGCTTAAGGCCACACAGCTAGTGAGTGATAGAACCTGCATTTAACTCAGGTGTCTGGCTCAGAGCCCACATCTGTAACCACCACACTTGACTGCTTCATCTTGTGGGTCCTGGGAATATAAACCATCCATGAGTAGAAGTCTCCATGTTGTCTACAATTCCTGCTCCTGCTAAAAAAGAGATCACCACCATGTTCCGCTTTGCTTGTGTTTCCTTCTGGGCCTTGGTCATAGGCCCAGAATTTTCTGTGTCTGTCCTTTCCAGCTTGGGCGTCCAAGACTGCTCACCAATGGACGATGCCTATTTTCAGCTGATGGCTGAGTGCTGTACAGGATTTATCTGACTCAGAACAGTGAAAACCTTGCCTGGTTTCTCTGCCCTGAAATTTCCATGTTGGTGCATCAAAATAACTGAGGAAGGATCTAGAGCATAATAGGGAGGTACCCCTAATGTTGGCAGGCCCTATAACTGACGGAGGTAAAGTTGGGGTGGTGCTGGTGCAGGTGGGTGTTCGAGTTGGCCAGGTGAGTGAGAACCCTGGCTCTGCCACTTTCTAATTCCTCTCTGTGAAATGAACTGATTATAATACCCAGCTTCAAGAGGTTGTGTGAGAAGTAAATGAGACTATGCTACTGCAGCGTCTCATTGTTCTCATGGGAACTTTGTGAGGTTAAAATGAGTACACACATGTGAAGGGTTTTTAGATCAACCCTCTGGCACCTGGTAAACACCAAGTAAGTCTTACTCTTCTAGACTCTCCCTGGGTGACTTGATTTTAAGGGCTTCACTTCTACTTTAAACGCTCTATTTCCCGATTTCACTGCAGTGTTCAACAGGACTTTCTACTTGGAAAGCAACAAGGTTTACTCCTGCTCTGGGCTTTTGTATATATTTGATAGCTCAGCATAAAAAGCCAGCTGTTAAGAAAAAAAAAAGCCATTTACTTGGTTTGTCTGCTTTGGGTGACAAAGAATAGAGACTCATTAGGCAGCCTCGAGTTTACAAAGCTTCAGGGAGGCCCTGAATGGGGCCAGGTGAGGCCAGAGTTTCAGTCATTAACTAGCCCAGCTTTTCTGGCTGGGTTTTCCAGTCCTGCAGGCTCCTCCTGGAGAGCCTTTCACTGGGGGTGGGCCTCACTCCTGACTACTCAGCTGCCGCCCCTAGGGAATAAGTTGGGCGACTGCATACAGCCACAAGGAATTAGGGTGGTCTCCCTTGGAGAACCTAGAGCTCAGCCCTTTTATTGTGGGGCCCTTGGAGGCAATAACCTGTGCATTCCAGAAGCTTTGGCCTTGTGTGTTCATCCTGCACTCAGCTCAAACACCCCTGGTTTTGTGACGCCTCTCTGCCTCATTAGTCATTTCCTCTTCTGCTCCATCGAAGCTAAACACAACTTATTGCAGTTATCGATATCCAGGCTGGTCCCTCAACTAGGCTGTCAGGTAGCCAGCCAGGCAGGGAGTGAGTATTATTCACATTTGTATCACCACTAACGAATAGGATCATCATGATGTTTGCAGAGTGAAAAACACATGAGTGTCTTGCACTTCTTTGTGGGGGTCACTGTCCTCAGGGGAGGTCCAAGGGACTCTCCACATGAATCAGGCCAGCAGGGCCTGGGATGGTATTTTATTTAAAAAATGTTTAAAGTAAATAGTTGCTTTTAACTTTTTTTTATATTTAAAAAATACAATGCATTGAAACACATGTTTAAAATTTTGAATATGTTAAGTTAAATGTTAAAAAATTCCCCTCACTTTTTTTTCAATCCAATACCAACAGGCAAGCACCAGTAAACATTTGAAAACAGCTTTATTGATATATAATTCAGATACAATTTGCCCGTTTAAAGTACACAGTTTAGCCCTGGCTGGTGTGACTCAGTGGACTGAGCAGTGGACTGAGCACCGGCCTATGAACTGAAGGGTCACTGGTTTGATTCCTAGCTAGGGCGCATGTCTGGGTTGTGGGTTAGGTCCCCAGTTGCGGGGGAGGCGCCAATCTATGTTTTTCTCACACATCCACATCACTCTCCTTCTCTTTCTCCCTTTCTTCCTTCCTCTCCCTCTAAAAATAAATAATAAAATCTTTAAAAAAAAGAATAAAGTACACAGATCAATGTTTCTTAGTATATTCATAGGGATATCAACCATTACTACAGCCTAATTTTAGGACATTTTTATTTCCCCCAAAGAAACTCAATAACAATTAACTGTCACTCCCCATTATCATTCCTTTCCCAACCCTACACAACCCACTGATTAACTTTTTGTCTGTACAGATTTGCCTATTCTTGGACATTTCATATGAATGAATCATACCATGTGTGGTCTTTTTGTGTCTGGCTTCTTTCACGTAGCATGTCTTTGTGAAAGCATGTTGTAGCATGTATCAGTACTCTGTTCCTTTTTATTGCTAAATAGTATTCCATTGTATTAATATAAAACTTTTTTATCCAGTCATCAGTCACTATCAACAGTGTAATACAACTTCTTTACTTTTTTCAGATTGTCTGGGTTTGAATCACTGTTGAACAACTTCCTAGATGAGTGACTTCAAAAGTAAATTTTGAACAACAGTGCAATTTACCTTATGTAGTTTCATGGTTGCATTGTCACAGTAATTAATATTTGTTGAGCACTTAACTATATGCCAGGCACAGTATAAGGATTACATAACAGATCTATGATTTTCAGATTAGGGAATGGAGGTTAGGAGAAGTTAAGTAATCTCCCAGGGTCAAACGGCCCCTAAGAAAATGACAGAGGTAAGCAATCACAGGCTGACCAACTAACTGCACAGCCTCCACGACATCATGGAATAACAAAGTGCTTAGCAAGGACTTTTCATAGAGAATTAACTTAGTAAATGATAACTGGTAGGAATATAAAAAAACAGAAAAAAAAGTAATTGACTCATCATTTAAAGATACCTGCCACTTAATGTTTTGGCACATTTCCTTCCAGTTTTTAGAAAATATTTCAAACATACCAAAAAAAAAATCCAGAAGATAATAGACATCAAACTCCCATCTTGCATTATTTTAAAGACATAAAATGTAGCAGATAGGTGGCTACCTCTCAAACCCTTTGATATTTTTCCCCTACATGTTATTTTCCTTGTACATCACATCATTTTCTATTTTTTATTGTATTTAATAATATTTTAAAATTTTATTTATTGTTTGAGTACAGTTTTTTGTCTTTTACTCCTATCCCAGGCCACCCCCCATTTTCTATTTTTAAAAAATCCTATCTTGAGCCCTGACTGGTGTAGCTCAGTGGATAGAGCGTGGGCCTGCGAATCAAAGATTCACGGTTCGATTCCCAGTCAGGGCACATGCCTGGGTTGCAGGCTGCTTCCCTGCAGGCCAGTTTCCAGCAGGGGATGCACAAAAGGCAACCATACATTGATGTTTCTCTCCCTCTCTCCTTCCCCTCTAAAGATAAATAAATAAGTAAATAAGTAAATAAATAAATAAATAAATAAATAAAATCTAAAAAAAAAAAAACCAAACCCTATCTTGGGCCCTAGCAGGATGGCTCAGTTGGTTGGAGCACCGTAATGTTCACCAGAAAGGGTGAAGTTTCCGTCCTGGTCAGGGCACATACCTAGTTTGTAAGCTCAGTCCTGCTTGGGGCATGTATGGGAGGCAACCAATGTCTCATATCCATGCTTTTCTCTCTCTCTCTGTCTCTTCTCCCTCTCAAATCAATAAATATATCCTCGAGTGAGGATTTTTTTAAAAACCGTATCTTGAGCACTCCCCCCAATATACCAAATATGATACATGATTTTTCATGGCCGCATATTAAACTGTATGATTGAAATATTTTTTTATTAATTCTCCACTGTTGGACACTTAGTCTCTCAGCAAAAAACATTGCTACATGTCATCTTTCTTCAAGCACCAGATAACTCCGTTTGGATAAATTCCTAGAACGGCCTGAAGGTCAGAGATTGCCCGACGTTAAGGGTCTTTACGTGTACTTATTTTTGCTAAGTAACTCTCAAGGAGGAATGGTAACAGGGAGAAGTTAGGATGGGATTTTTTTTTTTACCCTTTAAAACGTTTTATTCAATTATAACATACATACAGAAAAGTGCACATAAGTGTTCAGCTCACTGGATTTTCAGTAACTGAGCATACCACGCACCCAGTACCTAGATCATGAATTAGAACATTTCAAGCAGCCCAGAGCCGTCTCACCCACTCGACCTCACTACTCTCAGAGGTGTAGGATTTTAACAACGCCACGGACTACTAACCCGATGACGTCTTTGGAATATTAGTTTAGTATTTTGGTATAACCTAGATCACCACCACATGAGCTAAGCGCTGTCTGCAAATGCTTGACTGGCTGACGTTCGGCTGGGCGAAGAGCACGGGACCGGACCAAACGGGCGGCCGTGGGTATGGGATCCCGGAGGGTCCCACCGACTCCCAGCGTTCAACGCGTTGATCCCAGCGTGCACCGCGGCGCGCAGGGCCGGCGACGAGGGTTTAGGCGCGATTGCTGGCGCGGACTGCGGCAGCTGAGCGGCGGTGTGGCGTGAACCCCTTCGCGTACCGTCGGCCACGGGCAACGCGGCGGGGTCGAAATGGAAGTGTAAGTCGTCCAGGGCGCGTTCCCGGCTTCCGGCCGAGGCTCACTGCTGGGGGCTGCTAGATGCGGGGAGCTGAGGGGCGTGGGCGTCGGGCGACCCTCTGTCCGGGCGGAATGGTGGGGCGACGGGCAGAGAGGCGGGGAAGGAGACCCGCTGTGCCTCTCTGAGTCCTAGCCTGCCCTCTGACCCCTTACCTAGGACGGGAGCCTTTCCGTGTGCCTGTTTCCTCTCCATTCATTTGCTAGTGTTTCCGAGGTCACACTGGTGGCCCAGGACCGGGATATGAGCGGGGACTTAGAAGGTATAAGTTGCCCTTATAACTAGATGTGTGTTCACCGTGCATTGTATAACTTACGGTTTCCTTACCCAGCATGCCTGGTCCAACTTTATTTCTCCAATCATACCCTTGGATCCAGTGTATAAAGCAAATATTGCATGTCTTGTGCATAACTTTTCTAAAGGATCTTATTTTGTGTACTGTATCAGATTAGTGTACATCGCCATATAAAGTAAAAACAAAAGTATGCATATAAATAATGCAGCCGACTATCCAAGTGTCACACCAACTAAACACACCAAATAAACCTTGAACAGTGAGAAAAAAAAGGCATAAAACCTTGAGTTCACCCAGAGGAGAGAAGGATAAACTTTGCCTGGGGCAGTGGGCTCCTGGGGAGCTCTAACTCTTAAGAGGTGCTCCCCATCTGCGGAGGAGCATTTAGGCCCTTTAAAAGGAAGGGGCGGGTTTTCTCAGAAGAAAAGTGCTTGAGCCTGGATTGTGACCACAGAAACAGCATATGGGCTGTGTGTGTTGTTCTAACAACTGAACTGCACATGGTCTTTTCCACGGTTGTTCATTGTACTGCATGCAAATGGAAGATTTTGCAGCTACTCTGAATGTGGCTTTTTACATGGTTGACATTAATTCGTAGTCATGCCTATATTATGTTTGTTTTTGGCACTGATTGTTCAACACTCACATTTTCCTTAATGTTCTTTTGTCTCATGTTTGATGGTTATATGTACTACTGTTTTTTTCAGACTTAAAAAAACACTATATATATATATATATATATATATATATATGCTTGAAGTGAAAGCTTTATGAAATAACACTGTATGCAGTACACTCTGATATTGTCAAACTTACTCTAAACGAGTCAGGAGGTGCCCTCATTGGTGAGCTCAGTTGATTGGGGCATTGTCCCATATACCAAAAGGTCGCAGGTTTATCTTGGGGCATGTACAGGAAGCAGCAGTCAATCCATGTTTCCCTCTCAAGTTAATATGTGCACCTCTCTCCCCTCTCTCTTCTTCCTTCCCTCCCTCCCTCCCTTCTCCTCTCTCTCTCTCTCTCTCTCTCTCTCACTCAAATCAATAAATATATCCTCGGGTGAGGATTTAAAAAAATCAGGAGGATTTGGCTGGAAATAAATAACAAAGATGTATTCAATGGTCTTAGAAGTTGCTAACTGGAAAGCCAGGCAGAAAGCTAGAACTGTTCCCAAGAAGAAGGAAAAGTTGAGTTCTTAGAATAAAAGTCATATCCTTGAGAATAATTGGTCCTACGTTTTTAGCCCCGGGATATGTCCAGGATTGTTGTTGTGGAAAAGCTGTCGAGGTTTTTGGGGTCCTGCTGCTTGTTGCCACCCTCTAGGCAAAATTCCAGAGGCAAAGGTTTGGTTATAAAGGAAAAGAGTCTTTATTCAAAAGCTTCAAATTTTGGAATAGCAGCTTTCCACATGCAGTTAGTCACTTAAGCCTGTCAGTTAAGGCTAAACTCTTTAACACCTGAGTTCTATCATTCTCCCTGTTAGTTTTTAATTATCTTATTTTTGTGGGGTTAGTTTACAAACTAAGACAACATAGGATACAAAAGCTACACAGTTTTGGGAGAATGGCAGGCTTCTGCCTCAGAGCTTGTACCCTGTAAAACACCCAAAGAAGAATAACCCTGCCACCCTCTGCCAGGTCAGCCAGATCCTAGGCTGTGCCCGGAGCTCCTTCCCATACAAAATACTGCCCATTGGGGAACGACAGGTAGCTGTAGCACGATCATGCAGGCATCCTGGAGGAAGAAGAGAGAACCGGAGAGCCCTCTAGTTATTTCCATGGGCTCTGGAGGCCTTCAGCTTCTCAGCCAATCCCATCCTAGACTGTTTACTATTGCCTTGGCATAGTCCTCCTAAGGCCTCACCCTCCTCCCTGGTAAAACCCTTTATTGGCTTTCTGTTTTCCTTAGAGGAAATCCACATTCCTTACTAGGACCTGTAAGATCCTGTATATAACCTCACCTGCTCACCAACCATATCTCTTACCACTGTCCTCCCCAGCCTAACACACTCCATTGGCAGTCAGGTAGTTTCTATAACTTTCAAAGCCCTTTCCTACCTCAGGACCTTTGCATTGCTGTTTCCTTTGCTTGGTATAGTTTCCCCCTTGTCCTGCTCTCTTCTTATCCTTTTGATAGCTCAAGTGGAATATCTTTTTTAAATGTTGTGTTTCTTCTTGGTTTAATCCAAAATAATCCTCCTTTTTGTCTCTCCTAGCACCTTGGTTACTTTTCCCTTAAGTAGTTACCAGTTATAATAGTAAATGTATCTTTATTTATTTAGTGCCTTCTTCATGAGAGTTAAGTTCTATGAAGGCAAGGGCCATTGTCTGTTCAGTAAGTGCTTAGCATGGCATCTGACACTCTAGGAATTCGGCAAATACTTATTGAATCAAGTATATAATACTACTTCATTAATTTACCAAGAATAAATTAGCTAGACTCCTAATTGCTAGGATATCAATTTTCATTTTCCTAATTGTAATGGTTCGAAAACAGGGTTTTTTTCCTCCTGTAGCATTCTTTTTTACTTCTCCCAAGGAGTCCTTGACTTTTTCAAGCTAATTAAGAATTTTGGTACTTCGGCCAAGATGGAGGCACAGGTGGAAGCACTGCACCTTCTCACACAACCAAGTTTAAAAACAACAAAGTTTTAGCAACAAAACCTCAGCCAAACCACAGAAAATTGAACTACATGGAAGTCTGACAACAATGAACCCTTCAGCCAAACCGGTAAGAGGGGCAGAGCCAGCAGCAGAGCGGGGTCAGGCAGGAAAGATACACCAGACCGACCCCAGGCATGCAGGCAGCTGTAGGTGGATCCCAGGTGTGGAGTAGTGGGCGGACCCACCGAGGGTGCAAGGCGGTGGACTCACTGAGGGCTGATCAAAGTCACACAGTCGAGCGCAGCTAAACTGGTGAAGGAGCGAAGCGGTGAGACAGACCGTGTAGGCCCCAGTGGCGGAAAGTGGCAGAGGGGACCGCCATTGTCCCTCTCAGACCCCACCCCCACATACAGTGTCACAAACCAGCGACCTGGGTGGCCCTGCTCTGGTGAACACCTCCTCGTATGTAACAGGCATGAACAGATCAAAACATGGGCTCAGGAACAACTTAGAGCCCATAAATGTAAGTGAACAAGAAATTGCCAAACTTTCAGATGCACAGTTCAAAACACTGGTGATCAGGTTCCTCACAGAACTGGTTGATTATAGTCACAAATTAGAGGAACATATGAAGGCTAAACTAATTGAAATGAATGGAAATGCACAGGAAACCAATAGTAATGAAAAGGAAACTGGGACTCAAATCAAAGGAGTGGACCAGAAGGAGGAAAACAATGACCAAACAGAAAAGGATGAAGAAACAAGAATTCAAAAAAATGAGGAGAGGCTTAGGAACCTCCAGGACATCTTTAAATGTTCCAACATCTGAATTATAGGGGTACCAGAAGGGGAAGAGAAACACCCATGGGTGGAACACTTATTTGAACAAATAATAAAGGAGAATTTCCCCAATCTGGCAAAGGAAATATACTTCCAGGAAATCCAGGAAGCTCAGAGAGTCCCAAAGAAGTTGGACCCAAGAAGGAACACACCAAGGCACATCATCATTTACATTATCCAAGATTAAAATGAAGGAGAGAATCCTAGAAGCCACAAGAGATAAGGGGACAGTCACCCACAAAGGAGTGCCCATCAGAATGTCAGCTGATTTCTCAAAAGAGACCTTACAGGCAAGAAGGGGCTGGAAAGAGGTATTCCAAGTCATGAAAACCAAAGACCTACAACCAAGATTGCTCTATCCAGCAAAGTTTTCATTTAGAATGGAAGGACAGATAAAGTGAGTCTCAGATAAGACCAAATTCAAGGAGTTTATCATCACCAAGCCCTTATTATATGAAATGTTAAAGGGACTTACCTAATAAAAAGAAGATAAAAAAGATGAACAGTGAAAGGACAGCAAACTCAGTTACTAAGAACCACACCTAAAACAAAAACAAACTAAGAGAACAGCTAGATCAGGAGCAAAACCATAGAAATGAAGATCACATGGAGGGTTAGCAACAGGGGAGTGGGAGGAGGAGAAGGGGGGAGAAGGTACAGAGAATAAGTAGCATAGACAGTAGGTAGAAAATAGACGGGGGGAGGGCAAGAATAGTATGGGAAATATAGAATCTAAAGAACTTGAGACATGTGGTCATAAACTAAAGGGGGGAAATGGTGGGGGAGAGGTGTGTAGGGTGGAGGGGAATGAAGGGGGAAATAGAACTGTAATGGCATAATCAATAAAATATATTTAAAAAAAGAATTTTGAAGCTAACATTTATGGGAAAGTGCCTTTCTGAGGCAAGCATGTGATTTGGGAGTAGAAGTCCCCCTGACATGTCATGGCCTGGAGGCCTGACCTCTAGTGTCTGCCTAGCCTCCAACATGAGATGCCACTTCTGGCAGTGTGGTCCTTAGGGTCTTCGGTAGAAACCTGAGTCTTTGAGAGGACAAATATGCTGTCCCTCTCTTAAGTACGGCTAGGACCTGGAGCAAGAAGACACCAATGGAAAACTCCCCTGAGTTATTACTACTGTTTTTTCTTTAGTCACTGAGAGTAGATACCTACTGAGTGAATAATAGACATACAGTAGAAATTATTTTCTTTCTTAAAAAACAACTT